CGCCCGCCAGCCCCGAGCGCCGGGGGGACTGGTGGTCGGGGGTGGGGCCTGACGCGCTGGCCCCGCCCCCGCCCAGGGGCAGCTGGCGCAGGGCGTCAGCGCTCCTCGTCTCTTGCTCGCGAGTCTTTGCTGCGGATGGAGGTGGCTGCTCCCGCCTTTGCCTCTGCGGCCTCTCCGTCATCGGCCCCGGCTCTCCCAGCCCGGCCCGGCCACTTTGCCCTGCCCTGCGCTGGGCTTGCCCGGCTGCCCACGTCCTTCCTGACCTGCCGGGCCCCAAACTGGCGCTGAGCCTTCAGCAGGGCCAGCAGTCGGGCCAGGGGGGCAGAGAGCCTCAGCCATGCACCATCTCCGTGCGTAAGGGTGCCCTGGCCCACAACCGTTGCCCCTACCTGTTACCGCAATACAAACACTAGGCAGTCACAGTGAACCCCGCTCGGCATGAAGATCCCTTTGACTGTCCTCTGCCCCAGCAGGCCTGGTGCAGAGTTCACCAGAGCAGCCCCTTTGGGTGAGCATGCAACAGCCCCCCCGCCCCTCCCCCCTCAACCCTGCAAAGCACAGACATGCAAAACGTAGGCCTCTTGCCAAACATAGACCCAGTGATCACCGGCCAGAAATGGTGCCTGAGAAGACAAGGTGCAAAACCCACCCAGAGAGGAACGGCAAGAGGGAAGGTGCTGTTATACTTCCTGAGACATCAGGGCAATCGACTAGTTACTTCTCGTACCTGTGCACAAATGCACCGAGCGTGGGAAACCAGCAGGAAGAATTGGAAGTCCTCGCACAGTCACAGCACTATGACGTGATTGGAATTACAGAGTCTTGGTGGGAGCTCACATGATGAGCATTGTCATGGATGGGTACAAACTGCTCAGGAAGCACAGGCAGGGGAGAAGAAGAGGAGGAGGAGGTGCACTTTATGTAAAAGAGCTGTGTGATTGCTCAGAGCTCCAGTATGAAGCTGGTGTGGTATATGGAATATACCTTTAAGGGGCCTGCAGTGGAACTTACCAGTCTTTGGCCTGGATGTCCTAGTGGACGCTGGTATGCAACCTGTACTCGTTTGCCTTACTTTCTCCCCCTCTGTAGAGGTGGCAAGAATGTAGCCGTGTGTCTTTTGGCACGTCTGAAGTTTCTGCAACTTGTGAGAAGCATTCGAGGGTAGTCTAGGAGTTAGCACTGCTGTTGTAGCAGGGAGGGTACTGCGCAAAAGTCTCTCCTTCAGAAGCTGTGCTGGAGCATACTCAAGACCAGTAATGGGCGTGTTCCTCAGATTAAGTAAAGCCAGATATAGATCTGCAGTGTCCTGCAAAATCTTCTTCAACATTGATTTGATGGTATGAACCGTGCACTCAGCCTGATTGTAGATAACCCAGACTAGAATGGGTGATGGCTATGCACAAGGCAGTTGCAAATTGTTTCATCATGTTGCATGACTTGCAAATGGAATGTGATCACAAACAATTTCTTTAGGTATGCCACGGCAAGCAAATATAGACTTTGTTTTGTCTATTACCTTGGTGACACGTAGGGGGTGCACGCGGGTGCATGTGCACCCCCTGAGCGTGGCAATGCACCTCCTACGAAAAGGCGTTGCCAACACTGCCAGTGGCGCCTGCAGGCAGTCCTTGTTCACCACTCTCTCCCCGTCATTGCTGACACCGCTGGTGGCATCTGCAGGCGGTCCACAATCGCCACTGGCTGCTGCTGCTGGTGGCATCTGGGGGTAGTTAACAACTGCTGGTTGGCACTCACCACCCCTCTCCCCCCGCTGCTGCCAGTGCTGTGGCTGCCTGCGAGAGCTCCCTGCTTGCTGTCGCCGGTGCTGCTGCTGCCTGTGGGAGCTAGTCATGCCCCCCCAGCCTCCAGGAGCGCACAGCATTCATGGCTGTTACCATGCCAGCTGTCTTGCCAGGCAAGTGCAAAACTTCAGGGTACTTGGAGTAATAGTTGACTATTATCAAATAAGACTGTCCCTGTAGGTCAAAAATGTCTACTGCCAGTTTTAGCCAAGGCAGATCTGGGATCTCGTGAGATCATGGGGCTCTTTCTGAGTACTGGATTGGAGCTCTTGACAAGGTGTGCAATTTGCAATCCATTGCTCGATGTGGGCATTCAGCTGAGATCAATACATGATTTGTTGAGACCATGCTTTCAACCTTTGTATGCCTCAATGGGGTGAGTGAAGCAATGTCAATGTAACAGGGCCCCTGTTAGGAACCCTGTTACTTGGGAAAAATCCCAGACAGCTGGGGGAAGACTCCCCACCCCCACACGGTCAGCCAATGGGAGACCATCTCCAGGAATAAAAGAAAGGGGAAGTCCCAAAGAAAATGCCTTCGGGCACCAGAAGAAGTAGCAAGGACTGACAAAGTTCTGAAGAAAAGAGGAGGACTTACCGGAGACCTGGACAGACCCCAAGAAGGGAGGAAGCTCTGAGGTACGCAGCAGACCAGGGGCGGGAGGGATTTCCCTTCTGGGAGCCTGGCTGGATCCGCAGTGGTAGGAAAAGGAGAAGAGGAGAGACACCAGGTGGCAGATCCCTGAGGGAAGCAGCAGGGCAACGACCAGAGAAATTATCTTGCTGGTAAACTTAGCAATGCCGGGGAATGCGGGGACAGCAGCGGTGTCAGGTGGTGGATTCCTGAGGGAAGCGGCAGAGCAGTGACCAAAGACCATCTTGCTGGCAAACCCTGTGATGCTGGGGTGTGGGGGGAAAGCAGAGGCGTCAGGTGGTGGATCCACTGGGACTTACAAGTAAAGAGGATCAGGTTTCCTCAGGGAAAGGGGCGTTTCCAGGGCTGAAGCCCAGTGAGATTGGGGAAAACTGAGACACAGGAAACTGATCGTGATGGGGAATAGTTCGAGGCTCTTGCCAGGTTTATGCACCTGCAAAGAGTAAAGAACACGGAGAGTGCTTGTCGCTAATGAGGCAATTAGTGGCGATAAACAGAGACATGGGCGGGGAGGCTCCTTATTCTCTTCCTCCTTTAAGACCCAAGAGTAAATGAGCAGGGATCATGCCTAATTACCCCATGTGGAGAGAGAAAACCGGGGACGTCTTCTACGTGATTAGGCAGCGTGGAACCAAAGCCACCAGATGTGTGGACTACTAACTAGACAATTAACCCCACGAGACACCGGCCAACACTTACCTGGAAGATTCTACAGCTGGAGATCTCCTCTTGATCCCCAGGGTGATCCAGGGAGTAGCTCAAACTTGCTGCTACCTCCAACCCGGGCCACTGTAAGGGAAAAGATAAAAAGAAAAGAAAAAATACCTGGAACAATGTAATAGGTTGGGAGTGGTCATTCTGTGGGTACCAGTTAACATCTCATCAATCTCTTTCCTTTCCTCATAAGATCCAAGTCGTGGCAGGCGAGAACCAGAGGAACGGGTGGTACCCAGCTAACCCAATAACAGTCAACATCTTAGTCCTCACACCATGTGGAATGATTATTTTTGGCCTGATCATGAGCAAGTCATTCTGAATCTGGATTTGGTCTCTGAGAGGCCAGTAAGACTTCAGTTCAGGTCTAAATTGTTTTTTCCTGCTTGGCCATCCATTAAGATGCTGGGGCTTGTAGTTCCATGTCCAACTTCATGTGCTCCTGTAACTACTAGCCACTGAGTGACTTCGTTTTAGTCAGACTGTGAACCATCTTTTCTGAGTGAACAAGATCAGGTTCACAGCATAGGTGATGCATGGGGAAGCAAAGAGGGGTATGAGGCCCCCTGAGACAGGCCACCACTGAAGCTGCCGCTGGCTTCTGTGGGCAGTTGCTGCCCCCCTACCCCCACTGCTAACATGGCTGCCAGCGGCAGTGGGCGGTCCCCACTCGCCACCGCGACCGACACGGATGGCCGCTGCGGGTGATCCCTGCTCACCGCTTACCATCCCCCCACCCCTCTTGCTGCCAACACTCCTGCAGCCGCCTGCAGGCATTCCCTGCTCAGTCCACCCTTCCTGCCAAGATCACTGCAGCCACCTGCATACAGTCCCCGCTCACCACCGTCATATCCCCACTGCCAAGACCACCGCTGC